TCCGTTCCCTGTTCTCGCGCTCTCTCTCTCTCTCGTTCTCGCTCTCTCTCTCTCGTTCTCTCGCGCTCTCTCTCTCTCGTTCTCCGCCGCTCTCTCTCTCTCTCTCTCTCTCTCGTTCTCCGCGCTCTCTCTCTCTCTCTCGCGCTCTCTCTCTCTCTCGTTCTCGCGCTCTCTCTCTCTCTCTCGTTCTCGCGCTCTCTCTCTCTCTCTCGTTCTCTCGCTCTCTCTCTCTCTCCTCTCGTTCTCGCGCGCTCGTTCTCGCGCTCTCTCTCGTCTCTCGCGCTCTTGCTCTCACTCTCGCGCTCTCTCTCTCGCGCTCTCTCTCTCTCCGCGCGCTCTCTCGCTCTGCTCCTCGGTTCTCCTCTCTCGCTCTCTCTCTCTCGTTCTCTCCTCTCTCTCTGGCGCTCTCTCTCGTTCTCGCGCTCTCTCTCTCTCCAGCGCGCTCTCTCTCGTTCTTCGCGCGCTCTCTCGTTCTCGCGCTCTCTCTCTTCTCGCGCGCTCCTCTCTGTTTCTCGCTCTCGCCCTCTCATCTCTCGCGTCTCTCCTCTCTACTCTCCGTTCTCCGCGCTCTCTCTCTCTCGTTCTCGCGCTCTCTCTCTCTCGTTCCTCTTCGCGCGCTCTCTCTCTCTCTCTCTTCTCGCGCTCTCCTGCTCTCGTCTCTCGCTCTTCCTGCGCATCTCTCTCCTCTTCTCTCGTTCCGCGCTCCTCTCTCTCTCTCTCTCGCGCCATCTCTCTCGTTCTCTCTCTCTCTCTCCTCGTTCTCGCGCCGCTCTCTCTCTCTCTCTCAATCTCTCGTTCTCCCTTCGCTCGCTCTCTCTCTCTCTCGTTCTCGCGCTCTTCTCTCTCTCTCGTTCTCGCTCTCCCTCGTTCCTCTCTCTCTCTCTCTCTCGCGCCGCTCTCGTGACTCGGCGCGCTCTCTCGTTCTCGCGCTCTCGTTCTCTCGCTCTCTCTCTCTCTCCTCGTTCTCGCGCTCCTCTCTCTCTCTCTCTCGTTCTCGCCTCTCTTCCTCTCTCTCTCTCATCCGTTCTCGCGCGCTCTCTCTATCGCGCTCTTTTCGTTCACGCGCGCTCTCTCTCTTCTCGCGCGCTCTCTCGTTCTCGCGCGCTCTCTCGTCTCTCGCGCTCGTGTTCTCTCTCAATCTCTCTCATCTCTCTTCTCTCTCGTCTCGGCGCTGCTCTCGCGGCCTCTTCTCTTCTCTCTCTCTCGTTCTCGCCTTCTCTCTTCTCTCTCTCTCTGGCCTTCCGTTCTCTTTTCGCGCGCCCTCTCTCTCTCTTTCTCGCCGCTCTCCTCTCTGTTCTCGGGGCTTCTCTTCGCCGTGGCTCTCTCTCTCTCCGTTCTCTCGCGCTTCTCCGTTCTCGCGCGCTCTCTCGTCTCTCGCTGCGCTCTCTCGTTCTCGCGCGCTCTCTCTCTCTCTCTCTCTCTCTCTCTCGCGCGCTCTCGTCTCTCTCTCGCTCGTCTCTCGCTCTCTCTTCTCGTCTCTCTCCTCTCGCTCTCGCGTCTCTCTCTCTCTCTCTCTCGTTCTCGCGCTCTCCTCTCTCTCTCTCTCTCGTTCTCGCGCTCTCTCTCTCTCTCTCTCTCTCGTTCTCGCTGGCTCTCTCTCTTCTCTCTCTCTCTCTCGCGCTCTCTCTCTCTCGTTCTCGCCTCTCTCTCTCTTCTCTCCTCGTTCTCGCGCTCTCTCTCTCTCGTCTCTCTCTCTCTCTCTCTCTCTCCGCTCTTCTCTCTCGTTCTCTCGCTCCTCTCTCGTTCTCGCAGCTCTCTCTCTCTCTCTCTCGTTCTCCGCCTCTCCCCTCTCTCTCCCCTTCTCTCTCTCTCTCTCTTCTCCGTCGTTCTCGCTCTCTCTCTCTCTCTCTCCTCGTTCTCGCGCTCTTCTCTCTCTCTCGTTCTCTCGCTCTCTCTCTCTCTCTCGTTCTCCGAGGGCTCTCGCTCTCTCATGCCTCTCTCGTTCTCGCGCTCTCTCTCTCTCTCTCTTCGTTCTCGCGCTCTCTCTCTCTCTTCTTGGCTCGTTTTCGCGCTCTTCTCTCTCTCTGTCTCTCGTTCTCGCGCTCTCTCTCTCTCTCTCTCGTTTCTCGCGCTCTCTCTCTCTCTCTCTCGTTCTCTCAGCGCCTCTTCTCTCTCTCGTTTCTCGCGCTCGGCTCTCCTCTCTCTCTCTCGTTCTCGCGCTCTCTCCGCGTCTCTCTCGTTTTCGTGCGCTCTCTCTCTCTCTCGCTCTCTCTCTCTCTCTCCCGTTCTCGCGCCGTGCTCTCGCCCTTCTCTCTCGTTCTCGCGCTCTCGCTCTCGCGTTCTCGCGCTCTTCTCTCGCTCTCTCTCTTTGCGTTTCTCTCCCCTCGCTCCTCGCTGCACAATACCTCTCGTTCTCCGCGTTCTCCGCTCTCTCTCTCTCTCTCGTTCTCGCGCTCGATCTCTCTCTCTCGTCTTCGCGCGCTCTCTCTCTCTCTCTCGTCTCTCGCACTCTCTCTCTCTCGTTCTCTCCCGTCGCGCTCTCTCTCGCTCTCTCTCGTTCCTCGCGGCTCTCGCTCTCGTCTCTCTCTCTCGCGTTCTCGCGCTCTCTCTCGTCTCTCTGTTCTCGCGCCTCTCGTCTCTCTCTCTTTGTTCTCATCTTCTCCGCTCGCGCTCTCTCTCTTCTCTCTCGCTCTTCGCGTCTCTCTCTCTCGCTCTCGCGCTCGCGCTCTCTCGTTCTCGCGCTCTCTCTCGTTCTCGCGCTCTCTCTCTCTCTCTCTATCGTTCTCGCGCGCTCTCTCTCTCCTCGTTCTCGCGCTCTCTCTCTCTCTCGTTCTCGCGCGCTCTCTCTCTCTCTCTCGTTCTCAGCGCGCTCTCCGTCCTCTCTCTCTCGTTCATCGCGCTCTCTCTCTCATCTCTCTCGTTCTCGCGCTCTCTCTCTCTCTCAGTCTCTCGCTCGCTCTCGCCTCTCTCGCGCTCTCTCTCTCTCTCGTGCTCTCGCGCTCTCTCTCGTTCTCCTCTCTCTCGTTCTCGCGCTCTCTCTCGTTCTCTCGCTCTCTCACTCTCTCGTTCTCGCCGCTCTCTCTCTCTCTCGTTCTCGTTCTGCGCGCTCTCTCTCTCTCTCGTTCTCGCGCTCTCCTCTCTCTCTCTCTCTCGTTCTCCGCGCGCTCTCGCTCTCTCTCTCGTTTCTCGCGCTCTCTCTCTCTCTCCGTTCTCTCGCGCGCTCTCGTTCTCGACGCTCTTCCTGCGGCGCCTCGTTCTCGCGCGCTCTCTCTCTCTCTCTCGTTCTCGCGCGCTCTCTCTCTCTCTCTCGTTTCTCGCGCGCTCTCTCTCTCTCTCTCTCGCGCGCTCATCTCTCTCTCTCCTCTCTTCTCTCGCGCGCTCTCTCTCTCTCGTTCTCTCTCCGCGCGCTCTCTCTCTCTCTCTCGTTCTCGCGCGCGCTCTCTCTCTCGTTCTCGTTCTCGCGCGCTCTCGTTCTCCTCTCTCCCGCGCGCTCCATCTCTCTCTCATCCTCGTTCTTCGCAGCGCGCTCTCTCTCTCTCGTTCTCGACGCTCTCCTCTCTCTCTCGTTAGCGCGCGCTCTCTCTCTCTCTCGTTCTCGCGCGCTCTCTCTCTCTCGTTCTCGCGCGCTCTCTCTCTCTCTCGTTCTCAGCGCTCTCGCTCTCTCTCTCGTTCTCGCGCGCTCTCTCTCTCTCGTTCTCGCGCTCGCGCTCTCTCTCTCTCGTTCTCGCGCGCTCTCTCTCTCTACGCCCTCGTTCTCCGCGCTCTCCTCTCGTCTCTCTCTCTCGCTCTCGTTTCGCCAGCGCGCTCTCTCGCTCTCTCTCGTTCTCGCGCGCTCTCTCTCTCTCTCGCTCTCTCTCGCTCTCTCTCGTTCTCGCGCTCGCTCTCTCTCGTTCTCGCGCTCTCTCTCGCTCTCTCTCGTTCTCGCGCTCTCCTCTCGCTCTCTCTCGTTCTCGCGCTCGCTCTCGCTCTCTCTCGTTCTCGCGCTCGCTCTCTCGCTCTCTCTCGCTCTCGCCTCTCTCGCTTCTCGCTCTCTCTCTCAGCTCGTTCTCGCGCTCTCTCTCGCTCTCTCTCGTTCTCAGCCGCTCGCTCTCGCTCTCTCTCGTTCTCGCGCTCGCTCTCGCTCTCTCTCTCGTTCTCGCCTCGCTCTCCCTCTCTCTCGTTCTCCGCTCGCTCTCGCTCTCTCTCGTTCTCTCGCGCGCTCGCTCTCGCTCTCTCTCGTTCTCGCGCTCTCTCTCTCGCTCGGGCGCTCGCTCTCGCTCTCTCTCGTTCTCGCGCTCTCTCTCTCGCTCCTCTCTCGTTCTCGCGCTCTCTCTCGCTCTCTCTCTCTCGTTCTCGCGCTCTCTCTCGCTCTCTCTCGTTCTCGCGCTCTCGCTCCTCTCCTCGTCTCTCGCTCTCGCTCTCGCGCTCTCGCTTTCTCTCGTTCTCGCGCTCTCGCTCTCTCTCGTTCTCGTGCTCTCGCTCTCTCTCGTTCTCGTGCTCTCGCTCTCTCGTTCTCGCGCTCTCTCTCTCTCGTTCTCTCTCCTTGCTGTCTCAGCCAATGAGAGTTAAGTCCGGGACATGTAGCAGAATACATTTTGGCTTTAATTTCTGAAAGGTTATTTTTTATTCTTTTATTGAATGTGTTTTATACCCGTAGAGAAATTTTTTTTTTTTTCTTTCAAAATTTTTGGTCATTTTATATAATTAAAAAAAAAACAGTGGTGATCAAATACCACCAAAAGTGAGCTCTATTTGTATGAAAAAAAAATATAATTTTCCATTTGGGTACAGTTTTGAATGACCACGCAATTGTCATTTAAAGTAACGCAATGCGTATTAGCCTAGTTGGAGCTTACACAGGGCTAAGCTCTTTTTGTCTCCATATGAGAGTATTGGGACCAGTCACTAAGCACCAGCACTGTTGCATATATCTCCAAACACACCAGGAACAAAGACATTCCTTGCCGCCCAAAAAATTTTGTGTCTCTTCGGTGTATTAAATAACAAATTTACTGTGTTTCTGATTTTGTTTTTCTTTTGAGTTTGTACATATGACCACATTTTCCTGTGGCTCTTTTTAGGCCTACAGATACCTGAGAGAAGATGTGAAGACATTTCAAGGGAAGCCTATAAAGGTGACAAAATTGACCCCAATTTAAGAATACCTGACTAATTTGTTACGATCAAACTCTTATCTGTATCTTTTGTTTTTAGGCGAGGATAAAAGCAAAGCCAATAGCGATAAACACTTTTTTGCCAAAGAATGGTTTTAGACCTTTGGATATGAATCTGTACACACAGCAACGCTATACAACATCATTTTACATACCTCCGCTGTACAGTCCACAACAACAGTTCCCACTTTACAGTCTCATTACCCCACAGACCTGGTCTACTGCACACAGCTACCTGGACCCATCACTGGTATGTATCCTGCATCTTAACCATAGTTTATCTTGTCTGTACTTTTTGAAATGAAGTGTTACTAGATTATTTCTGTGACACCCACAGATGATCTTCATTTAATCTTTCTTTTACCAGCATCCAATTGGTTTTAGTTCAGGAGTATGGCAGAATAGTTGATGAGCTGAAAACCACTAACATTTTAGCAACTTATGTAGAACCTGCTTGCCCCTACCACCATAGGTTGGAAGTATTCTGTATATTAAGGATGGGGGTGAAGATGAGGGTTGGGAGATTGCAGTATAGTGGATGCATGATCAGTATTACACTATACAGAAAAATATGTAGCTTTGAATTTTAAGTAATGTTTCGATGTATGTTTTTGTTAGGTAACGCCATTCCACAATACTGGATTCATTAATGGGTTTACATCTCCTACTTTCAAGCCAGCAGCATCACCTTTAACGTCTCTGCGACCTTACGCACCCAGGAACAGGCAAGTGGAGCTGCCCTCTGCAAACATCCCCACCAATTTTCAGTGTGACAGTGTTAAGTCAAATATATTAGTAGAATATACAGTGAAGGAAAGAAGTATTTGATCCCCTGCTGATTTTGAATGTTTGCCCACTCACAATGATCAGTCTAAAAATCGAATGGTAGGTGTATTGTAACACTGAGAGACAGAATAGCAACAACAAATGCAAAAGAAAAGCATGTCTAACAAATTATTCAAGAGCATGGAGGAGATTCCAGGAGACAGGCAGTTACTGTAGGAGACTTGGACAGGGCTGTGTAGAGGGTCCTGAACCCTTCAGCAGGACCCATAATTGCTCTTTTGTGCAAGGAGGAACAGGGTGAGCACTGCCAGAGCCCTACAAAATTACCTCCATTAGGCCACTGGTGCGAATGTCTCTGACCAAACTATCAGAAGCAGACTTCATGATAATGGCCTGAGGGCCTGATGTCCTCTAGTGGGCCCTATGCTCACTGCCCGGTACCATAGAGCTCGATTGGCATTTGCCATTGAACACCATAATTGGCAGGTCTGCCACTGGCGCCCTTTGCTTTTCACAGATAAACAGGTTCACCCTGAGCATATTGGACAAACGTGAAAGGGTCTGGAGAAGCCATGAAAAATGTTATGCTGCTTGTAACATCGTACAGCATGACCGTTTTGGTGGTGGGTCAGTGATTGTCTGTCTGGGGAGGCATATCAGTGGAGGGACGCATAGATCTCTACAGGCTAGACAATGGCACCCTGAGTGCCATTAGGTATGAGGATGAAATCCTTGGACCCGTTTTCAGACCCTACGCTGTTGCAATGGGTTCTGGGTTCCTCCTGGTGCACAACAATGCCTGGCCTCATGTGGCGAGAGTATGCAGGCAGTTCCTGGAGGATGAAGGAATTGATACCCATGCTCGCCTGACCTAAATCCAATAGAACACCTCTGTGATATCAGGTTTCAGTCCATCTGACACCGCCAGGTTGCACCTCGGACTGTCCAGGAGCTCAGTGATGCCCTGGTCCAGATCTGGGAGGAAATAACCCAGAACACTGTCATCTCATGAGGAGCATCCCCCGACGTTGTCAAGCATGCATACAAGCACGTGGGGGCCATACACACTGAGTACCATTTTGAGTTGCTGCAATGAAATTTCAGCCAAATGGACAGCAGCCTGCTGCGTCATTTTTTCACTTTGATTTTCGGGGTGTCTTTGAATTCAGTCTTCTGTAGGTTGATACTTTTCATTTCCATCAAACGATGGGCATTCTTACGTACTTAACACATTACCCAGTCCATATCAGTATAGATATCCAACATGATATTTTTTCCCTTTTGAGATCTGATGTGTTTTTAAAATGTTCCTTTCATTTTTTTAAGCAGTGTATTTAAATAGAAAAAAATCAGGTTCAGCCCAAGCTTCTTTCTTTATTTGTAATGAATTGGTTAGGAATGAGTTTTACACTCTGTCCAATATCATTATGATACCAACTGGGGTTACAGACAGACATGAAAATGAAAAAAAAGCTATAGGCTTTAACTAACTTCCCTATCATACAGTGTGTTTATATTTTTATCTATGTCCACCTTGCAGTGATTTCCTGGCATATACCCAGATCTATACGCTAGCAAAGAACGGGGCAGTTTTTACAGACCACTTGGTGTTTCTGCCATCACTGTTCTAGGTTTAATTTTAGTGTTTGTGAAACATTTTACTTTTAAATACTTTCTAGGAACCCTGGCAAGTCCCATCTTCGGCATACAATACCAAGTACTGAGAGGGCCCCTGCACTTCTTGATGGTCCAGCTATTTTCAACTTTACTACTGATAGACTAATCAATGGTGTGCGTGGGCCTCCAACACGGCAACCCGGACAAACCAGAACAAGGATGCCGAATACAACAACATTTAAAAGGGAAGTTGGTACAGGCCGTGTGGAACCTCCAACTATTGAAAACTCCTCTGGTCTTGGGAGGGGGAGGTGAGTTAACTTGTGTTTTTAGGATATGTAAACCTCAACAATGAGCTTATTTGCTCCCTTTTGGTCTGGTAAATATACCATGGGATGTGTTTGTTAGATCTGTGTGATAAGTTCTAGAAATCCATTGCTGTCTTCTGTACTTTGCAGTGTTCTTAATGCGGCATTCCAGTCGTTTTTGTGTTTATTAAAATTCGGCGGCCGCTAAAAAAAAACAAAACTGTAGCTGCTGACTTTTAATAAACACACACACACCTGTCCCAGGATCCAGCGTTGTGCTCACCCACACCGTCCCTTCTCTCCCTCCTCTCTCCCCCCTCTCTCCCCAGTGCCAGCATCTCAACTGTGGGCAGCAGGCTGTGACGGCTTGCTGCTTCACAGCTGGGTGCCCACTGTGCATGTGCAAATTTGCTCATCCCTTGTTGGGTCCAAACTTCACCATTTCAAAGAAAGCTGGAAGTGGGAGAGGGTAACTGGTATCCACTCCCCTCCCCCCCCCCCCCCCCCCCCCCCCCCTACACACCCCAAAAAAAGAGTTAAACAAGCGGAGCTTCCACTTTTGGATGGAACTCCGCTTTAAGCAGGGTTATCTGCTTTATCCTTTCAGTTCTGTGGACTACAGATCACTTTCTTCCTATATTAATGAGAGGGGGAACTCTCCATAGACCATGTTTAGTGAGTAAGCATTGTCACCTTAGGACAAGGAAACATGTTTCTGGGAGGAAAAACGGGTTGAAACAAAGGAAAATATTTCTAAAAAATATTACATTGTTACTGGATTTATATATAGTTTAAAGGCACACTACACCATAAAGGACAGTGTGCTGTGACTGACTTGCATATACATACCTGGCAGACTTTATAGAACATATTCTTTCCTCCACAATGACATTCATAGGACAGCAGAGCTGTTTAAAGAGCTGGCCTATTTCCCGTAATTTCAGAAAAGGCAGTGACTCCTAAAGCTATGGGCTGGGATAGAGAAGAAAAGAGATGTCTGTTGCCACAAAAAATTATCTTGTGCAAGAATCCGTTCAGTTGCTTAGTGTTATGGTGCACATAGCCACATTTCTTTGCAGCAGGTGTATCCGCTTTAATATCAATGTCTGTCTATATTATGTGTTTCTTTAGGAAAACATCTTATGGCTTTAGGAAGAAGAGGGATGACAAGTTTGTGGTGAGTTCTAGTAAACCTTTTCCAATATGCATATTTACTATATTTATGCAAGAATGAATTATATTAAAATTGTGGTGGTTTGGTGACTATTGAAACTTTTTGGTAATTGCTACTTAAGTAGTGCACCCTCCCTATATCTGTACTCAGCATAGCCATTTCAGAACACTTATGAACAGTGGTATCATGATCAATCTTTTCAAAATGATAGCTGTCTTAAAGCGGTAGTAAACAGCCAAAAAAAACCATTCTAGCTGCAAGGTAAGAGCATAAGGTGTATGAGTATGAGCATACTAGCATAACATGAAAGACTGCCTAAAACAAAGCCCTCCAGCAGCACGCTGTCACCACTGACACAGCTTCCATCCTCACAAGCTCTTTCTTTCGGGTTCGTGTGCTCTGGTCGTTTGAATGGCTGAGCCCCGATGATGTCACTCCTTTGCATGCGCACGGGAATCACGGCTGTGAGACAGCTCAACGGACGGCATGAGGTCACCGGCACTACTAAAGTAAATATCTCCTAAGCTGTGCAAATTTTGGAGATATTTACTGTGCTTACATTTAAGCCTTAATAAATAAATATATATATTACCTGTAGGTATAGACCAAGGAAAAGGCTTTACTACCACTTTGACTGTAAATCCAATTACCTGAAACATTTGGTGAAAAAAATTTGTTTCTGGGAAAAGTATAACTATTCGGCTTGCTGTCACAAACAAAAAAATTTCCCAGCACACTTACCAGCTAACCTGCAAAAAAAATGTAGCTTTCTATGATCAAAAGCCATATTCTTACCACAACTGGTATAGGGGTGAGCAAAAGGTATCTTTCGTTCACCAATTTTGTAATTTGTAAGAAGGATACATGTTCAAATTATAAAGCAAAGTTATGTTAACATAAGATTTATAAATAGTGGTTTTGGAGAAAATGCTAATCCTGGCTTCCTGTTCTGCTCACATTACCAAAGTCTAGCATTTTGGATGTGTGGTCTCTGTTGAAGAGGATGATCAGCTAGTCTAAACGTTGATACTTTTCAGTAGAGATCATCTAACTAAATGCCTAGACCATTACACACATGGCTAGCACTAGAGTGAAGCCTCAAGCAGCATTTTCTTCAAAAAGGTAAGTTTCCCCGTCATACAGTACAGAGCACAAGCAATTTAACTGTTATGACTGAATTATATGCAGCTACCTTCAGGTGATTATTCACTGACAAAAAAGGGAAGGCTGCAGGGACACGCCCTACTTAACCATTCCCAGCTAGCGTCAGTTTTTTGTCCTTAGGTGATGGAATTTTTCTCTATTGAGAACAACTTGCCTTCTTTATATGGAGGTTTTCTGTCTAGCTGTCTTTCTCTGGGTAATCTTCCAAGTTGATTCTTCTAATAGGCTGCCTAATAGCCAGTGTGGCTTTTCATTAAGCTTCTGGATTGGACTCCTCAGCAGAGCCTTGGGGGGGACCAGACCTGGCCTGTGGGAACATGCTAGGCCAGCCTGTAAAGTTGCTCTACACTCGTGCCATGGAGGGTATCTACTGGCTTTTTGTAGCTGTGTGAACTCAGGAGGTTTTGGACAACTGGGTCTGCAGTGTGTTGTCCAAGGGTTACAAGCTAGACCTTCTCAGCTTCCCGCAAACCTTATTCACTGAAAGGTATTTTTAGAGCCACAGAAAAGAATGGTTTTGCTGCAGCTTTGGAAGGCTGCTGTTCCAGAGGGTCATCATTCCTATGCTGGCAGGTGGAGAGATCTCCAAACCAGGGCCGGGACAAGGAGAGGGCAGGAGGGACGGCTGTCCTGGACAATGTGGCAATGTGGGGTGGGGGGTGCCACAGGGAAATTAAGGGGAGCTGTTTTGTGTTGGTTGGTGGAATGTGGGGGGCGGCAGGTGGAAGAGCTGTTCTAGGAGGGGAAATCTGGTGGTGTGTACTATGAGTTGTGATTTGGGGGATGTGTGTTCGGTGGGGGGATGGGGGAAGAGTGTTTGTGCTAGGAGGGGGGTATTTGGGGGTGTTGTGCTAGAAGAGGTGATATGTTAAAGAAGGATTTTTGCTGGGAGGAGGGATTTTAACGGGGGTGGATTTGTCCTGGGAGGAAGGGGAATTTATACTTTGGAGGTTAGCATGCAAATTAGTGCTCAAATTTTTTTTTTATTATTTATTTATTTTGGAAGCAGGGATTTTTGATGACACATAATGCTTATACCTCAGGGCGGGGGGGGTACGGTTAGAGTTGGGAGTTGCAGTTTGGAATGTTCGCCCTGGGCTCTAGGCCAGCACTGCTCCAAACTGTTTATGGTTCCCAAGCCAAATGGAGACCTTGCCCAGCACTGCTCCAAACTGTTTATGGTCCCCAAGCCAAATGGAGATATCTGGCCTATTATGGAGCTCAGTGGTCTTGAGTTGCTGAAGGCCCAAAAAATAACAGGTTGGAGTGCACCTGGTTGGTGATTGCTTCACTTCATAACGGAGGGCATCAATGGATATCCACTATCTACACATCCCGATTTCCTGTCCTCACCCACTGTTTGAGATTCAGTTTGTAGTGGATGATGGCTACTATCAGATTGTGGTTTTAACTTTCAACCTGTCAACTGCCCCAAAAGTGTTTACCAAGTTGTTACCTCCAGTTTTGGGTTTGATGAGGACCTGGGTATTCCTATTATGAGGTACCAGGGCGACCTGCTTCTGTGTGAGCAATCTTTTCAGGCTCTGAAGCTAAAATGTCCAGCAGGATGGTACAGACTTGGTGTCACGGACATCTCCAGTGACACCAATACAGTGATCAGTGCTAATAAAAAGCACTTACACTGTACTAATGGCACTGGGCATGAAGGGGTTAACATCTGGGGTGATCAAAGGGTTAACTGTGTGCTGTGTGTTTCACTGTAAGTTGTTTCACTGTTTGCATACAGTTCTTTTCCCCGTTAGTAATATTTGGCGATCACTGGGTGCTGGCGAGTAATCACCAGCCAGGACCCGTTGATTGACAGCCGAGGCTGCGAATGGTGCAATGGGTAGGGCATGTGCACAGCTCATATGTGCCCCCTACCTGGAACTGCCAAATTACGTGCATATGTACGTGATTTTGCTCACTCGTGCCGCCCTGTAGCATTATTTCTGCTATAGGGCAAACGGGAAGCTGTTAAAAGCGAAGTATGGGTTTGTTTTTCCCCAGAACATGCTTACCTAGGTGGATGCAACATCAGTTCCCCAGTTCTAAGTGTGAGAACTTAGCGATCACATGACTGCTGATAACTAAATTCTCATCGCCACTGTGTGTGGTAACGGTGACTGTCAAAAGAGCTTTGTCTGTACTTATTTTTTTAAGTAAATATGATATTGAGTAAAAATAAATAGACCATGAATTGACAAAGTATAGAGTATTTAGAAAGACAATCTGGGTATGAACTGATGAAAAATAAAGAATAATATTAAAATGATGTAGTATGATAAATGTATGAAAGTAATCAATTGGAATATGTTAAATAAAAACTATAAAGTTCATTAATAAATGGCTGCAGAAGATATAGTAGAAAGAAAACAGCTTGTTGTTCCTTTAAACATTCAACTTGCTGCTTATTTTCCCTTTTTGAAGGTAGGATTTACCACTTTCCACCCATCCAGCGGTGTATTTTTACAATCCAAGATGGCTGGGATTATTATGATGCTTTAGCCCCATTTGTGTGCCCTTCTGAAGGGTGCTTGTAGTGGTGTTTCCCTGGGTGCTTATCATTTCTTAAGGTGTTGTGCTGTGCCTGCACAAACCTGGCTCTACTGCATGGCCAAAGCACATGCTGTGCATGTGCCACCTTGTTTTGACTGCGGTGTCTGTGTTAATGTGCCCTGCCTCATTCAATTTTGCATTCAGGGTGCCGGCCAAGCAACATCTCCTCAAGATCCTGAGGGCACAGTATCCCTACAGCAGCTTATAGATTCTTGTACTGAGGCCTCCCCAGCTCTCCCCTCTCCTGCATCAGTGGTGTGAAGGTCATACCCTTTTGTGGACATTTTAATTCACACATATGGTGGACCATAAGGGAAAAATAGTGGTGGTAGATAGGCCTGCCAGCCTTTTAGCTGAATTAGGGTTGTATTACATTGGTTTAGAGCCATGTTACTCTCCGCTCTGATGGTTGCTCAGATTTTAACTATCTCTCTTTCTCTGGTCTTTCAGCAGGCCTTTTGGCCACCACAGCCTCACCCTGCCTCTCTAGAGATACATTTTCTGTGACAAGTTCATGTGCAGAATTTCTGACCTTGAGACCTTAGATGGCTGTGTCCCTTCCACCTCTTGTCCGGCTTCAATCTTTTGAGTTTGAACTTGAGCCAGACACAGTGCAGGAGTAGGAACCATCTACCGAATAATTCTGATCAGATGCCTCAGAAGGCAAGGAGGACACATCTGCCACAGAAATCTTTCCAAAACTCATTAGATTTTTGCTATGATTATTGAAGCTGTACCCTTTTGTTTAGCGTTAAAACAGCTGGAGTCTGCTCACCCTCACTAGATGTCTAGCATGGGATCCCTAAAATTCTCTACTTCAGCACAAACCTTTTTGGTTCACGTACAAATGGGACCTGTCCTATACAGACACTGGCCACACACAGAGCAGTTTTTTTTTTTCTCCCCTAAATGTTTCACCTAACAATATCTTACTGAGGAAATTTCTTTCAGAAGTAGGTAATTCCTGTAGTGGATCTGGCTATTTTCTGCCTTAATGGGCCTCATGTTCAAGGATTCAGGAGATAAAACATTACGAGGCACTCCCTAAGCTATATTTGCAGTGCCATGCAGCCCGCATTGGTATCTATAGCAGTCTGTCAGACCATTTTGGATAGAGTAACGGAGGGTTATAACCCCTGTCAGGGTTGTGTGTTTTTTGTTTTTTTTTCTTGCCATTGTGTCCCATTGAGGTTAATTCCCTTTACATCCTTTTCCATAGCCAAAAAAGCAATAAAAATCCAACAGGTAACCTAATTCCTCTCCACCCTATCAAAAAATGCATTTTTCCTTTAGTTATTCTAATGGCTAAGTAAGGAACCTCCTTTTGCAAGAATACATTGCCTTTCAAATGAGCGATGACTGGTGCCATGGCGTCTTTACAGTGAAGGGGTACCTCCACTTCTCATAGTACAAGTCATCTGTTGGTCTTCTCAGCCTTCTTATCCCAGAACATCTGACACCTGGCTCCAGAGTTGTTTTTCAAGGTCTATAAACTTGAGTTTATCACTCTGCCTCTTCCCCACATCTTGTTCCCCATGTCATTGAAGCTAATTGAGCCTCTTTACAGTTTCCAAACCTAATTGAGGCGTTTGGCCCATTCTAAATGAAAACGCCAAACTTGTTCCTACAGGTTCAATAGTTTTGCATGGAAAATGCGAGTCATTGCTTCCTTCTTTCTGAAAGAAATTCTAGCCTCTGTAGACATCTGGAATGCTGATCTGCACATTCCAATATTTCTGCCTCATCCACTCCTATATGCATTTTGTGGTGGGCGAACAGCATTGCCAGTTTGTTGCCCATCCCCTTGGCCTGCTCAGTCCAGACTATTGCAACTCGGCATTCTTGCTGCTTGGACAAACTGAGATGGGCCACCCAACCTGTGCAAGCCTCAAAGCCAGACTCTTCCTGGCATGGTGGATTTCCAGTTGAGTTCTGGAATTGGGGAAACCTTTCCCTTTCACAGGCATGGCAGGTTCTCACAACAGATGGCAACCTTTTGGCCTGGGAGGCTACCTTCTTGGTACAAGGGACTTGCTCATCGTTGGAGTCTGCCTTCCAAGTAGCATTCTGGAATTCAGGGCAATTTAGTTGTCGCTTCTACACAAGACTCCTCTATAGCAAGGGCACCTAACAAGAATACAGCCTGACCAATGCAACAGACTTCATCCTTGCATCAATCAAGGAGGCACCGAACGTTGTGCCATTCTAAGGGAAGTGGACATGATCTTCTCATGGGCAGAAATGTTTACGTTCCCGCACTGTCCACTTCCCACATCTCGCATGGAAAATTGGTAAGTGGACTTTCTCTGTCATCAGCGGTTTTATCCGGAGGAATGGGCTCTTCATCCAGAGGTATTTCAAGCCCTTTGCCGCAGGTGGGGGATGTGGGATGTGGCTCTTCTGCCATCCAGCTTCAACAACAAACTAGTTGCCATGTCCAGGGAAGCTCAGTCCTTTGCCAAGGAAGCTCTGGTGATGCAGTGGGATCAATTCAACCTGATCTACTCTTGCCTGCCACTCTAGATTCCCCCTTGCCTACTTTGCAGGATCAGGATGGAGGGCCTCCTAGTTATTCTCATTGCAACAAATTGACTCAGGATTGCTTAGACTACTCTTAGAGTACTTAGACTGAGTACTTAGACATACTCAAGCTCCTGGCAGGTGCTCCGTTGGCTCTTCTGCATTGTCCGGACCTCCTGTCCCAAAGGTTCCATCCTTCTCCTTGGTCTCTGGCTTTAAGGGTATGGCTGTTGAACCCACAGTCCTTCAGAACAGGGGCCTTTTTAATAGTCTGTCATCCTTTCCCTCCAGAGGCTAAATAATTAACTTCTCAAAGTCCACCATGGCATCTTTGCTTGTTTTGAGTCCAGGAGCTTTTGCTACTGATTTTGTAGGTCACATGAAAGTTGCGCAAAACAGACTCCTGATAATTTCACTTTTGAGATAGTTTGAGGACACAGATTCCTCAGTCTTTCTTGGCAACCACAGGTGCACTCATGAATAAACAGGTAGTGCTCTGTACAGAGGCTTCTTCTTTAATCACAAACTGAAAGGCATAGTAAAGGTTTACTATGCATCAGTTATGAATGAACACAGGAGTTATCAGGTGCAGAGTAGTTGTGATCAAAGTAAATTCTATTAAGCAGCATCTGAGGGTCTGTTTTTGTTTACTGTCATCGAAGCGACCATGAGGTCATAGCAGGAGAGGGAGTGTAGCCTGCATAAGGCATACTGACCTGGCCAACTGGAAACTGTTCTACTGTATTCCTTATGTCTGGGGTTAAAGAAGCCTGTGCCCTGTACTGTGCGATCAGGAATATTTTGACCTGCAAGTAAAATCTGTTTTCCTGGAGAACAATACAGTACACAAGGCCTTCCCTTCTGTTATTTTCTTGCTTGCTACAAAAGTGGCTAGCTGGGAGTGTGAGGGATTACATAGGAGGATGTTCCTGAAGGTAGCTGCATATAACCCGAAGTAATTTAAATATGCCTGTGTTCTGTACCTTGGAAACAGATTTTACTGGTCAATCACAGAGTATAGTTAAAATTTAAGGAGCCAAAAAAAGTTCAAACAGCATTTATTGAGATTGGTGTAAAGGCCTAACATATGCATGTACTTGCTACATTGCTTATAGGACTTGTATAGTTGAGTTATTGACCTTTTTTTTCCCCCCCCCCCCCCTCCTTTAGAGAGGTCAAACGCAGTCTCCTCCACCCATAAAGCCCCCATCTCCAAGTTTTGAATTGGGACTGTCTAGTTTCCCTCCTCTGCCTGGTGCTGCTGGCAATCTAAAACCAGATGACTTTTTTGAAAGCAGACTTTCAAGCTTGGTGATAAGCACATCAAAAGAAAAGGTAAGTACATCATAAAAATATGTTGTAGACTGTATAAAACCATAGAAGCAGCTTTAAATTTCTGCATATGTCTTGGCAATCAGCATGTTAGTAGATGCCGTTGGTGTATAATTTAATCTACACATTTCCACCTGCTTATAATCTGCAGCTTGAACATGTTTGACGCAAGACATGCTGTATCATTTGTATGCTGCTCTGCAATGTTTCCAGGATATGCTTGGTAGAGTTATAGTTTTGTGAGTAAAAGATTATGGGGGGTTATGGTTGAATATGGTGCATGGTCTAAGTATGATGTAGTGTTTAGGGGGACATTGGAGGCATTGATGTAATGTGAGGCGACTCTGGGGACCCTGATGTAATGTGGGTAACATTTAACAGTGTCATTTCATGAAATAATTTACGAGGGCGTGTTTAGAGGCGGAATTAGGGGTGTAGCAGGGTAGGGGTTGGGTGTGGCAACTGGTGGCAAGTAACTCTTAAGGCCTGGCTAGTAGCTCAGGACTTGAAATTTTAAGGCCTGATATAAGGTATATTATTACTTTCACTGTTTCACAGTATAAATTAGCCTCTTATCGTAGTGATCATCTGCTGTTTTTGTATTATAAAGGGCAATTTTTTTTTTTTAACTTCATCATGACAGGTGACAAAGAAGCATACTGCAGCTGCTACTAAGTATCTTATGCTAGCCACACATATATTGATTTTTCAGATGAGAATATTCTCATGAAAATTTGCTGTACAGTTGACATATGGACGAGTATTCGAAAATTTCCTTTGCTTTTAACATTCAATTTCAATATGTAATTTCTGTTCGAAAGTTGGCTTGATCGAGAAGTTTTCTATTTTGCGGCTTCTAATTTTCCTGTCACTTTGGTAGAAAACAAAACATCAACTTCAAACTTTCAAACAAAAGAAATCATTTGTGTATGGTTTCAAGCTACCTGCCTATGACAAGGGACTCCATCATGCATAATATTATATTACGGTCCTCTGAAAATCTGCAAAACATCTTTTAGATCTTTTAAAACATTTTTCTTTACATAAAAATTTTGATCATCTTAGTCTATGTACCCCATTCAACCTCTAACAGTACATACATTTCTTAGATAGTTTGTTCCCTAACCATATAGCTGGTTATTTATATTTACCACTGCATATTGATATTCGTGAATAAATTGTCTTTTTTTTTTTGTTGTTTTTTTTTTTTTAACTTTACATATTAACTAAATTATATATCACACTTTTAGGTTTTTAATCTAATTGGTTGAAACAATATGAAAATAATTGTTCGTTGCAACCCTAGTGTGATCTAATAGTGCAACTTTTTTCCACTGTGTTGCAGAATGTTAATGTGGATGCAAGTACAAACACCATCCCTTCTGGGATTCCAAGGGAGCCATTATTGCCGGTTCCCACTGCACTGCCAGTGACATACCAGAGTCCTCCATCACCCTCACAATCACCAGAGTAAGTCAGCCTTTTTTAACAGAATAACGCATCCTTTATTCATGTTTAAAGGTTTTTTTTCTTTTAACGGAAATGTGTTTTTCGAGAAATAGTGAGCTTGCAATATTTATCTTCTAAAAATGTTAGCATCCTGTTTTGCTGACCCTTGTGCTTTGATACTTTGGACTAAAACTGCAGATTACAATATAGAAAAAAGCTAAAGGTCCTGCATGAAAGGCCAGGCTTCTAGCAATATCCGAGCCCAACAATAGTAGCCACTTCATTTCTCATGACTGGTTTCCTTTGAGATTTACCAGTATGTAATATTTAGAAAGTGAAGGAATCTGGCCCCTTAGTGAGGCTCCATCTCAACCCCAGCTACATATATGTCCCCTATGGAGAATTTAGTTATTAGATCTTTTAAAGATTCCTAATTAGATTTTTCTTAAGCCGTAATGGCAAGCTGTGGGTGCAAGCACTGCCTTTCTTAACAGGTGTATTTACAAATTGACTGAGCCAACTGGAAAGTTATCAGCTGAGGTGCATGCATCCAATAATGTGATACATGCAGATAAAGTAAAGACCATTCATCCTGAGTATCAGAAAATTGCACAGAAACGGTTTTCAAAATATAGCATTAGAAAGTTACTAAATGTATCTATTTTATAAAGAGACTTAAACCGTTTGGTTTTTTCTCAAACCTGTCTGAGCAACACTGTGCTGTTGGATCTTAGCATATTCTTTCCACTCTACCAGACATCCGATGGGGGTGAAGCCTGGACCTTTATATATACAGTCCAGTGTTGTGGATGGGCTCAGACAGGGTCGCCCTGTTGCTGAAAATATTTGCATTGAATTTACTATAGTGTAAACTTTTGAAATTTGGAATTCAACCACTCAGAGCTTAGTCTCTTGCCTAGAGCGCTTATGACACTCAGATGCTTTGTCCTGCACTTTTTCCATGAGCCTTCATTACAGGACAGTCTACATGGGTTGCTGTGGTCTCCTTCTGGATAAGCTTATCCTGTATTCCACACCCCACTCCATGATGACCAGGCAGAGGGGAGCCATTGCAGAACCACAGAGAAACATTTACTCTGTCGAAGGCCAACACAACACTCAATGTTTAGATTGACAATGTGCCTCTTGCAACGGAGCAGGAGCTGACTCCTAACACTGGTCTCTGCATCTGATTCTAGTTTTTATTTCAGGTACTCAACAAGTGTCCTACCTGACGAGCAAAATTTTCTGCATCTATATCACTATTCCTCTGAAAAATAACAGCCTAATACAACCATCTTTCCCCTGGGCTCACAACTCTTCTCCCATTTCTCTCCCTGGTTGGATCCCGATATGCCTGCCTTAGATGAGACAGACACAGAAGGAAAGGAAGGGGACACTGTAGCAGTATTGGAGAAAGCAGCAGAAGATTTTTGTTCCCCAGATTGCTGTATTATTGAAGGAAGGAGCTTCATGCTTGCTACTTTAGAAAAACTCACTGCTGCTATCCACAAAAGCTTTGGCATTGTACAGCATGATTCTCCTCCATTCCTCCATGTTCCTTTGGTTACAAAGAGACCTATAAAACCCTCAGGCATTCGCTGTTCATGAACAGGTTGATTGTGCAATCTGTGAATATTGTGTAACAATGGAATTCGCTGACTGAACACCTAATCCCAAAGAGGCATAAAAAATTTACAAATAGAAAAAATGATGAGACTTTTGTTGAAAACCTAATTTCAGAAATACAACTCTAAAACAAAAATATTTTTGGATATAAACTAAGAACTTTTATTACAGAATCATGAAAACTTCTTGGGGTAAGAAATCCTGTAAAACCATTAAGATAAGCAGCTCAGCCACCCCGTCAACATCTTTCCTCCACAAATGCTAAATCTGGTGATGAATAATCCAATAATAACAATTTGGCTAGTGAAAAGAGCATAGATGAGGTAAAAGATGTTGTCCCAATACGTTTCGTTGTTAGCTTCTTCAGGGGGGACAAGTGACTGAAGCTGCAAAACAAAAACAATAATAATAAAAACAAATATACAAATAATAACAAAAGCACAATCCAAAAACAAATGGAAGTAGATATAACACACCAAATAACTTGCACGACTAACCCACAAAGGAAATTTAACACCTTTTTCTTAGCGCCTGCGCTTGAGAATTGAGGTCGAAGAGACATGCTATAATGAAATTCTCCATGAGAGTTTTAGGCCTCGAGGCTGTACCATTTGCCCCATTTCATTCAAGACCTCTCCCAACACAAAATCTTGTCAACCTGGAGCAAACATGCTCCTTCTTTCAACTTATCCATACTCCTGTCCAGCCAAGCATGGCGTTCATTAACTTGGTAGAACTCCAATCCTAAGTCTTACCTTCACTATCACTAGAGTGATAACACATACCAGTCTTTCAGACACAGGAGTAGTGTTGCAGCCGCTCACGGTCCAGGGAGCATGGTCACCTGTGGAAGCCAAACTTCAATCCAGTTCCTATATCTCAGAGCAGTTCAGATGGCTCTGGAACACTGGACCCCCTTTTGCTGCAGGGGCACCAATCAGGGTGTAGTCAGACGCCATGGCTGAGACTTACATCAGCCACCAAGAGTGCTTGGGAGTCTTGCAGCCTTGAAAAAGTAAACCAGAAATTCTCATGGACCGAAACTTGCTGTCCAGCGATCTCTGTAGTCCACATATCAGGAGTGGAAAAACTGAAAGCAGGCTACCACAGCCACATTTACCTGGATTATGGGAAGTGGGCCCTTCATCCAAACATCTATTCTGATGTGTTACAAATGGATGACTCTGATGTTGAATCTGGAGGCTAAGTATATCTACATCCAAACCACCTATGTTTATAGCCAGGGCCAAGGATCGTCTTGCTGTGGTTTCAGATGCCTTTTTTCCCTGGTTTCAGTTCAGGCAAATCTATGCCTTCCCTCCAGTGCAAATTTTGCCTCACTTGCTCAAAAAGATAGAGCAAGGAAGGAAAACTGTGACTCTCATTGCACCAAACTCGCCAGGAAGAACCTGGTACGCAGACACTTGGACTTATAATAGACAAGCCCTGGCCTCTTTCCAGCAGGCAAGACTTGCTGTCTCAAGGCCCTCCATTTCATCCTGCTTCACAGTGCTTGATAGAGGGCTCTCTGTGTCTGTTGTTCCAACCTTGTTCAAACCAAGAAAAGCAACTTCCAGAAAGGTCTACTGTTGCACCCGGAAATCCTTTTTTGCCTGCTTGCATACACAGGTATTTTAGTCCCAGAGATTACTCTGTGCCTTATGTTTTGGCTCTCCAACAATCCGGTCTTGACCAGAACTTCAAGGTGTATCTTACATTAAGCCCCCATTGCAGCACCTTGGGATCTCAACTTGGTTCTTTCTACCCTGCATAAACCACTCTATGAGCTCATCAGGAATATTCCCTTAGATGACCTCTCTTCTCCTATAAAGTAGCCTTTTTGATTGCCATAAAGTGTGCCAGACAAGCCGCTTTTAATAGTAAAAGTTTTGCCTGGCTGACAATAGTTTGCGGCTCTGTTCTCTTGTTAATTGGCCTATCAGACATGTCTGTAAGTTGGTGGCTCTCTTGTAAGGAGCAATTCCTCATACTTGAAGTTTATTGTACGTCCAGGAACATCATTTTCTCCCAAGATAGTATGTCTTCACCTCAATGAGGCTATTGTCCTATCATCCTTATACCCTACTCCAAAGCATCTAAAGGAAATCCTCTCTTCATTGCCGGGACATAGAAGTCTACCAGAAAGCTACAGTGTCGATCAGACAGGCAGATTCTCCATATGACCCCGGCTTCCATGTCCACTATTGCAGTATGGATTAGAAATCTAATTGCTAAAGCTTATTCTCTCCAAGACAAATCTCTTCCTGCACTTTTTATGCACCCATTTCACCAGATTTGTGGAAGTTTCCTGGACATTCCGGCACCAGGCCTCTGTCGTCCAGCGATGTAAGGCCACCACTTGTTTCTCTGTTCATGCTTTTTCAAAGTTCTACCAGGTGGATGTCCAATTTTCTGCAAATGAAGCTTTCAGTCAAAAGGTTCTTGCAGTGGCACTCTGAATTTGCTTTTTACCCTTGTAGTTTTTGGGCATATTGGACACAATTCTGTTTTGCCTGGTTATTGCCCATGCTTCTCATTCATTTACGAGGAATTTTTACTTGCCTGTAAATTCCATAACTTGGTGTACAGGATACCGGCTACCCTCCCTTCTGTTCCTTGGTTACTCCTACATTGCTTGGTACAAAACTGAGGATTCATAGAATGAGTTGGGTTACAAGGGAGGCACTGTCCTTGAACGCATGTTTCAGATCCCCTGAAGGTAAGAACCTATAACCTAGGGTCTTTGAGTACAGCACAGGACAGAGGTAGAGTATTCAAACATATGGAATTTACAGGCAAGTCAAAATACCTTCTTTTTTTTGTTTTTTTTACAATTTCCTTTAATGCTGCGGTTATGAGTGACACATTTTTTGTTGATTATTATAGTCCTGTTCAGACTACTATGTGCCAGCACCCTGAACACAAACCGTAACAATGACTGCAGTAGGGCAAGAGCCTGAAAGGTCCAGTCTAAAGGTCTTGACTATTGCTGCTCCTGAACTGACACATTTTAAGAAGCATAGTGTTTACATAGCATGAGGCTTAGTGTACATTATAGTTTGCCAGGTAAACCTTCAGAGTTCTTAAATGGGCTTCAGAACAGGTATTGTACCATTTATTATGGCTAAAATAATCTCTATGTTGATTGCAGTGAGTCCAAAGTAGCGGATATACAGCAGCAAGAGTCTCCAACTATTGAAAGGATTTCCACTACCCTTAACACTTCTAGTAAATCTGTTCAAGTTAATGGAGCTGCTACAGTAAGTATTCATGTTGCATTATCTGAAACTAAATCCTACATTTTAGAATGATAGATCTTCAGTTATGGTTTTTGTTTTAATAGGAGCTGAGAAAACCTAGTTACGCAGAAATCTGCCAGAGAACAAGCAAGGATGGCCCTAACTTACTGCCTTCTAAAGAACAGAAGAATGTGGCTGTTTGTGTTAAGGCTGAAGGGAAGGTGACTGACCCTTCCATAGAGAAATCCAGAGACGCCCCACCGGCAAAGTCCAGCACAGGACGACCCAAAGACCAGAGGAGACTATCGGGTCGCAGGTCGCCTCCACCTCCTCTGTCTATTGGAAAACGGGGGAATAAAGAACCTGGAAGCCCCCTAAAGTCTCCTCAGTAAGAACATTTGGAAAAGTGAGAACTGAACATCACACCCTAGTGATCATGCTCCACCTATGTTATCGCCGAATGAGTCGCTGGATAAGAGTCGATCGTTTATGAACATCCGTGACAACTTCCAGCTTTTTTCAGGTTCTCATTTTTAATGAATGCCAATATAATACCTTGTGGCATTCAAATGAATAGTCAAAGTTGTATTTTTCTCTTTTAAGCCAAGTGGGTTTCATATCAAGACAAGACTTTCAGGACTCCCTCCCCACAAGCTCCAATCCCTTTTTGTTAATGCCGATGAGCCCCATAATTAATCCGGTTGCAGAAATAGTAACAATTCAAGCAAGTAATTTATTAAAAAAACAAAAAATGCATGAATGACAACGTCGCAAAACGGTTAGTTTAGTATTGGGTTGAGGAGTGTTGAGAAGCTCTTTATACAAAGATTAAATGGCCGTGAGGGCCCCCACAACTCCCCCAAACCAATGAAATTATCTTGCAGTTTTCTAACTGTTGCTCTTTATTTAGCCTGTGCAAGTCTGTCTTGGCCTTATTTAATGTCAATAAGTAGTCTTGTGTCAAGGCCAGTTACTACAGCCAGGGAAGGATATTGAGGAGAACTTAACATTGACAGTTCTTCACAGCCGTAGGTGAGCTTAACTCAGGACTCTACAAATCTGGGCACTAGGGCCAAGTCCTATTTTTTCTGCATTTTGGATATTTTTTCCTCAAACCCTTTTAATTATTGTGGTGTTGGTGGTAAGGTCTGTCCATGTGCCCACCTCTTCTGAACAAATCTCACAACCGATTCATGTCTTGTGACCAACACTGGTTCTGTTGCAAGATGCTTTTTTTTGGCCAGCTTGTCTGTACTTGCAAGGTTAGCCAACTTGCCTCCATCCAAACCTAAATTATTAGTATTACCTGGAGTTCTTTAAGTTTTCTTTTTTTTTTTTCTTTCCCCTAAATGTGCTACTAGCAATTTCTAGTTACATATTTGTGAAATAACCGTAGATAATATCAAAGCACATGATTCCTAATCAACTAACAGAGCGGAGTTCACGCACATAATTGTTTTGGTCATTCTTTTTTTTATTTTTTTTTCCCCAACTTGTTTTTTAATTTTTTTTTTTTTTTCAAGTATTGCTGCACCAAGGGAAACTATGTAGGTGATGTCTCCCAGTCACCATGAACTTTTTCCGTTTGGTTTGGAAAGTAAGTCTGATAACCTGTCCATATATAAATATATATTTATATATTATAGTCATGGGAGGGAGATATCATCGTAATCGCCTTGGGAATAAAGATTTATTGAAAGTTGTACACACTATTATACTTTTTGAAGGACAAGGATGCACTAAATTTAGCATGTTTCGCATAAAGAAGAATCTAAATTATTTTTAGTTTGAAATGTGTAAAAAGTATTCATAACAGCGAAAGTTTACGCTGTAGGGTACATATTTTTTCCAAGTGTGCTTTTTTTTGGATTTTTTTTCTTTGATTTGTTTTAATACGCCGCCTGATGAACCTGCATGGTTCATTGTAGGGTTGAGGCAGCGTGAAGAATAGCTGGGGGGTGTTTTTTTTTGTTTTTATGATTTTTTTTTATTAAGACAAATTTCCATCCAATATTTAAAAAAAAAAACAAAAAAAAAACTTGAATTTTATTTAAACTTGAAAATGACTTTGCCTTAACTTTTGTATAAGACAGCTTAGATTTAATTAAGTCTGACCCCCTTCTATGTGGGTTAGCATGAGTGAAATACAAAATTACTTGGTTTCAGTGTGTATCTCTGTTATGACTGACCTGAGTAATAACACTGTTGTACAGGAAATAGCAACAGTTTTTGTAATATACCTTTAAGATCTCAACAATTGATCTTCTTTTTTTTTTTTTTTTCTTTTCTTTCTTCTTTTTTTTTTTCCAGATTGTTGAATTGTAAATGCAAATAGTCAATACTGTATTAAATATGTGCACTTGGAAGTGTGTGCTTTGCTTGTACAGATGTAAATAATCAGAACATATAAAAAGGTACCCTACGAAAAAAATGCTAAAAAATTATTGTTGATATATTATAAATGTTACTGTTAAGCTGGATGTAGATAAACTAAATGTTGTGGTTTGAATCTTTATTTCAGTCATTATTTTTTTTTTAACCTGGTGTGTTGAACTGACTTTGCCTATTCACTGCAAAAGGGAGATTAAGAGTCTTATCTGAAGATAAAAAAAACCCTCATCTATTTCATCAGTCTTCAAGTATACACTATTCACTACCGGGAAGTATTTGATTTATTTTTTACCAGACAGTATGTACAGCTATTTTTTAACTCCTGGAATCCCTTTGTAAATCCACCTGACCTCCTTTTTCAAGCATTGTTCAGAAAAAAAAACAAAATCGTGTCAACAGTACATGTTAATTTCATATATATACATATATATATATGTGTGTGTTTTCATTCTAGAGTACCCCTCAAATTAGTTTGATTTAATGGGGAAATTGACTTTGGGAACTAATTATTTTCATAAACAATGACTGCTAAGGTGGACCATACACTACTATCTGATTGTACAGTCACTAAAGGTTTATTGTGCAGAGACAGTACAGTTAGGTTGTATTATGTATGGTCATCTTAATGATATTTTACCAGAAACACAGTTGCTGTGTCCTGGATTAGATTTAGCATGTGCAATGGCAGGAGTGTTTAACATTTGTCCAGATTCTAACTGCATTGTTTGTACCTAAGTGTGGTTCATTCAGTGTGAACCAGGGCTGACTACTACTTGCCAACCCTGCCCCCCCCCCCCCCCCCATTCCCATGGAGCTAATAGAAACACACCCTTTTACATTAATGACTCCTTACACACTTGTGATGTCTCCGTTTTCTGCTCTTGGATGAAGTGTATTGGCACATATTCCAGAGAGGTATCAAATTGCGAACTTAAATTTGGCAACCCATCTATTTAGGGTCTACATGAACAATTCATGCAAACCATGTTTGTTCAGTTTAAGAATTTTACTGGTGTAACAGTGCACATTTCAGGCCAGATCTGTGTGGTGACATTAAGGCTTGCGTTTAGTGAATGTTTTGGGTTTTTTTTAATCCGCACCAAAGATGGGACTTCCAAGGTATGAAGTGACCCTTGTACTGTTTGCTGTGTTGTTTGAAATCTTCAGCTGACAATATTCCTAATGCATATGTTCTTGTGGTAGACTAAAGATAGACAAGTGCTGCAGCAACAGCCAGCTTGGGAGCTGGTATAACATCATGGAAATAAAAATATATATATATATATATATATATATATATATATATATATATATATATATATATATATTTATTTATTTATTTTGCTAGCACACCATAGATCTCCAAATAATGTCCAAATGTTTTATTCAAGATGATCACTGCGCAAAAACTGCAATGTTATGGGACAGCACAGGACTCCTTTGTATTCATGTGATGAAAACTTAAGTCTCCTGGCCTTCAGATAACCCAACAGCAGTGATCTTCTGGTGCTATGGGTGTTAAAATGATTAGTTTTACATGTCGCAGGCACTCTTCAAAAGTGCCAACTATGCCTGCCCTTTTCTATCCCCTGCTTCATTCATAGAAGTTGTACTATCTGTTCCCACAATGAAAAGTGCTATATGGATGGAGGATAATTGATTGAAATGTTCCTGGTGCTGACTTAAAGTATAAAAAAATAAAAATCACTAAACGTAAGCTTTAAGTGCAGGTTATTGTATTTGAGCTGTCAAACATCTCCTCTCTCCAGAAACCACAGCACACTGTGCACAGGAGTTCAGGGCCCTAGGAAAGAGTGCTTGCTATAATTCTATAATTTTTTTCCAACTGTATTTACTGTATTTCTACACATGAGATATATATATATATATATATATATATATATATATATATATATATCAATTTTTTTTATTTTTTTTTTTCCTCCCAGAAATATTGTACATGTTCCTGTATCTCATTTTCCTCCCAGAAATATTGTACATGTTCCTGTATCTCATTTTCCTCCCAGAAATATTGTACATGTTCCTGTATCTCATTTTCCTCCCAGAAATATTGTACATGTTCCATGTGTTATGTGTACCACTTATATATTTTTTTAACAAGATAATTTTAAAGGTGGCTTCCACTTTCAGTTTAGCTTTTAGATATATTGCAGAATGGCTTTTAGCTTAAAGGAAACAGAGCACAACACCTGTTTCTGAAATCCTTCAAATTTAAAAACTTCCGAGACAAATATAATGGCTTTTCAGCTAAAAAAAAAAGTGACAAATCCACAGTTACCTTCTAGCTGAAGAGATTTTGAATTTTCTTCATGAAAGTGGAAATTTCCTTTAAATGATTAAGCATTTTAAGTTGTTTTTCATATTTTTATCAGTATACAAGGTGAAATCAGAATGGCTTTCAGTATTTTATAAGCATGAGATTGCTGTATATGTGCTAAGAATTCTTTGTTCATACTGTAACAGCTGAGCACAATGGTACATATCTGTCTTTCTTCTCTAGTCAAATGGTTACTCCTGTTTATGTATTGTGAATCTTTTACACTAACGGCTGCAGGTGTTCCACATGATGCCGTGCAGCTAAAATGACTTGAAAATAGAAACATCTGAGGGTTTTCAGTTTGTCCTGTTTCTTCCATTAAGACTGGAATCAAGCATATGTGTAAATAATGGTAATTTAAATTTTTTTTTGTGACATAAAATGTAAAAAGTCTAATTTGAAAAAAAAAAATGTAGGTTATGAATAATAAAGGTTTAGACACTTATGTTTTTTATTTTATTTTATTTTCTTTCTCATACAAAAAAATAAAGGCTCAGTTTCATTTAATCTTCTACTGATAACTGCTTGTATGTTCTGTTAAGACCTCAGTTATACAAAGTATGAGGAGGATCTTCCTGAATTTCAGTTGCTATGCAATTACACAACACCCACAAAGAAAACCTGCATGGGTACTGATGATCTGTATTTGTAATATACAGTACT